GTCCCTTCCAACCCTAGAAACTATGAAACTATGAAACAATCCCCTAGCATCCCAGGATGCTTTGCACCTCCCCTGCACACCCCCCTCATAGGGCAGGTAGGCTAGCTTTGGCCCAATCTGTCTTCTCCACCTGAGCAGGGAGGTGTGCTCTAGCAACCCCCAGCTTCTGACCTGGGCCATTGCAGACATGTGGCTGCATTTTCAGTGGATGTCTGTTCACTTGGTTATTGGTTCAATCTACACAGCTTAGACTAACATGCAAATATTGAATCGATTCAGCCTTAGGCTTTTTGATTGTCTGTACTTAGCCAGTAGGGCTGTGCAAAGCTTTGGTCACTGATTCAATCCAAAGGAGATTCGGCCCAATTTGGCAGCTGAATCTCCAAATCCTAATCAAATCAGGAGACCCGTTAATCTCTCCAAATTGAATTGAAATCCTCTGATTCAATTTGGAGAGACTCGGAGAGATGACAGTTATAGACACAGTTTTATATGTTTTTTCTACGTACCTCGAGTTAGCAGGCACGGCTTGTGAACACTGAGATGGTGGGGCAGATGAAGCGTTGCACGGGAGCACGCAACGAGGAGGGGGTGTCCCCCATGTGCTCAATGGGAGACCTGCCCATCCCACGGCTCAGCAACTCACACCTCCTGGGTCAGGGGTGGGGGGGGGACACCTGGGGTCCCCCTGTGGCTGATTGCCAAGCCAAGGTCTGCAGGAGGGTTCCCCGCATGCTTAGCGGTGGACCCAGAAGTGGTCTGGGTCTGCCAGCAAATGCATGGGGTTGCTCCATCTGCCCCACCATCTCAGCCTTCATGGTCTGTGCCTGGTACCTCAAGGTACATAGAAAAAATATATAAACCTGTGTCTATGGCCGAATTGCTGATTCTCTGAATCAGAATCAAATCTTCAGATTCACATTTGGCCAAATCGAATTGGGACAGTGATCTGAATCAGCGAATCAAATCCCTCTCCCCCAAATCAGGCTGAATCCAAATCAAATATTGCCCCCTTCACACACCCCTATTAGCCATATACTCTCAACCTTAATTCTGTCATTAGAGTCATATTTAAGAAGTGTCTAATAGCTTCAGCTTTATATAATCACGTCGGTCTCATCTGACTATAGATGGCTTTGTGTAAGTTATTTATCCTGCCTACAAGAGATTTTGGAAACCTAGCTGTTTTTGTAAACACTTTTTTAGACCGAATGGGTTCTGTTTAGATGTCCACCTGCCTGATTTGCAAGTGTAGCCAGGTGCAGAAGGACATCTAAATCTTCTCTTGAACCAGCACCTTTTTTTAGGCACAAGACAAGGCAGGACTGAATATCAGGCACTGTTCCTCCATTTCTTCAATTTATAAGATAGATATGACAGGATTTATTTTCCTCCTTTCCAAGAATGTTGTGAGGATTGTATGATACCTATAAATAAAGTTGTTTGACGTGAAAAAATGTAGTTGCCAAGTGTTATTCATACAGTACAATACATCAGACTTAGAGAGAATTATCTAAGCATTGTAAAGTGTCTCCTAGAATAGATCCTGTTATGGGATAAAAGCATATATAGTTAGAGACTATATTTAATTTTCAAAATGTTAAATTAATATAGGAAATAAAGGCCAAGCTTGCACTCTTGTCTTACATAGGCATGTTCCAACAATTGGTGTGTTTTATTTTCCAGCCTTCGGCAAAAGAAAGGAAATCTGGCCCAGAAACATTGGATTGGACCAGCTAATATAGCCAAATGCAAGCCGTGTCCAGCGATGCATGGCAGCCCTGTCTGTGGTTCTGATGGACATACATACACTGCCAAGGTAAATCCTTTTTGCAAATGGAAACTGGGTGATCAGCCATGTTACCACTCAGAGAAGTCACAGTTTTAGCAAATAAGTAGTTATAAAGGAATTTTAGATACCAGTGTTTGATTTTAAATGATATATTTCTGAATATAAGCATATGCTGATAACTTTATACTTCAAATACTTCCGGAACACAGCAACTTCTAATTGAATGTACCATTTCAGGAACCTCTTAATTTATGCTCCTCTTATGTTTTAACTTCCCCCCAGTGTAGTAAAATTCTTTAAAAATTGGCAGGGAGATATGGACTTGTAAGTATAGCATTTTATGGGTTAATAGCATAGTAGTTACTAAGCTTTGGTATAGTATTCATTGCCAGATTTGTCCTTGGAACGGCAATGTAATTTGGTAATAACATCATTTTCTGACTGATTTCTCATTGCATGGATAATGTATTGCAATCCATTTAAGTCCCAGTATTAATACTCTTGTGTTCAATATACAGCATACATTATACCTTAAACAAGATACTTCCATACCTCAGTGGCTTTAAATTGACCCTGTGGTATATTGAAAATACGATTGCCTTAGGGGTTGATTCAATAAAAGAAGCCAGCGCCACAGCCATGTTTAATTCAGCAGTCCAAAGCTCACGTTGTCAGAATTAAGCCTCCTGTGTTTCATATAGTGCAGTGTCCTATGTTTATACATCATGCTCCAGGCACTGCGAATTATGTCTGGGGAATGGCTCTAACATCTTTGGGGACAGATCCTTCTCTCCTAACTACCAGAGTGAGTCTTGACAGCCAGTAGGCCAACCTTTAAATGTTCAAGATGACCCCCAAAATAAGAAAAGCAGAAAAGCAGAAGCAGAAATGCTTGAAGTGTAGCAAAGGAAAACGGCATAGCAGTATAGATCAGTGAAACTACAGCTTGTATTCTCTCTGTAGCACCAAGGGTGAAGTGTTACATCCTTTAATATACACAGTTACAGATAATTGCATGTACCGTGGCTTGGGCATCTCAAGCACAACAAGCCAAAGGCAGAAACTCTCCTTTCTATCTTGATCCAGTGTGATTTGCAATCATATATGCGGATAGAATGAATGCTCTGACCTGCCTGCTGAACAAAGTGCTTGAAATGACAAGCTAAAATTGGTAACCCACCTTAGGCATCACATAGAAACTTTCATCATTAGTTGGGTGGGGTAGGATAGTGCTGTCAAAGCTGTACATGACTCCCTGATATTTGGGACTGGATCATGTAATGGTGGATTTACTTGAGAAGTCTCTAGTAAATACCATTTTTAACACCAACAGACTCCCCCTATGCCCGAAGAAGGGTGTTTGTGCCCAAAAGCTGGCAAAGAGCAAAATTTCCAACTATTTAGTTGGTCTAATAAAAGATACCACATCTACCGAAAGAACCTCGTCTTTCATTGTATATGCATTCATACTGTTTTTGCTGCCTTAGTTGTATCTCTCAGCCAGTGCTCTGGATCTTTTATTTGCTCTTCTGATTATCTTTTATCATTAGCTCCAAACATTTTTGATACAAAACTGCCAGTCGTAGATTCTCTTAACTGTTGTGATTAAGTTGGGAGTCTAACAGCTGTAATGAGACTGTCAAATGACATCTCTTGTTGACATGTTGTTCTGTGAAAGACATACCTCTCACAAGACTTCTTTTGTTGCGTTGGTTGATAGGTATCAGACTTGTGCATAAACACCTCTAACTCATCTTCATCTGTTGTCTATTTAGTTACCACTTGCTCTTGTCTCTGCCATTGGAAGATACATAGCTATGTTTTTGTCAGACTTTTCAAATGAACCAACTACGTATAGTATACATCTCTGTTAAAAAATTACATCCTTTTTCTAGTTATTGTCCATATTTCCTGCCATTTCCAGAGAAACAGTAGAATAGTATTTGTGATAGCTTGCATTATACCGCATCATGGAAACCTCCTCTTTTTCATATATTGTACATTTGGTTGCTGTTCTGTAATTTGGCTTTGGACTGAAATCTCTTGTGCCACAATCCAAAATCCCTCCACAGCCATGTCAGTCCCAGCAACCAAATGCATATGGGTTTGACCTTTATTCATCAGGAAGGAGATCCATTGTAGCAGCTCTTTACTGAGTAGCTCTTTGCAATACGCTGCAACTGTATATAGCTGTAATACATCTTCTGACATAATGCATACGATTATAGTAGGCCACAGAGCATTTTGGGTTCACTACGAGTGTCCTTTAAAAGCTCTGCTTTGTTGCCCTTTTTTTCAAGGGCAACTTTTGGCAAATAAATGTCAAACTGTTAAAAAGAGCAAGCGGAAAATTAGATTTTCCATCCTGGGGGAAATTCTGATATTTTGACATCTGTTTTCATTCAGATTCATGATAAAAAAAGAGAATATCAAAATAGATGGTAGAAAGTTCTGGAAAAAAGTATCAGAAAATGCAGAAACATTGTTTTTCAACTCTGTTTGACATTAGCCTATGTCCCCCTCACAGTATTTCAAGAGAGTTATGGTCCTGGTGCTTATTAGGCCTGTGCGAAGTGGCTAGTATTCTCTTCAAATTTGTCTGATTCGGGAGACAGTGATTCGATTCAGTGATTCGAATTGCTGTCCTGAATCAATCTGGCCGAATTTGATTTGGAAATTTGGCCTCAGCTGAATCTCCAAATCACACAGGCCCCGTCCCCCGCCTGCTCTCAGTGGCTGCCCCACCAGCCCCAGCTCCCGGCTCTTGGAGGAAAAAAAAAAAGCCCCCACTCACTGGCTGCTGCCAGGTTGGGGGGCGATTCCTGCTGCTGTCCAGTGCCCTGCGCCACATGGGGGGCTCTGCCATAAGCCCCCTGACCACCGCCCACCCCCCCGGCTGCCTCGCCCCCCCCAC